CCTTTGAAAGAAGTATGAAGAAGCGAAAGCAGATGATCAATTACTTACGGAGAGAAAACGCATGCCGCTCCAATAACCAGCCCTAGCTCCTCGTGCCTTGTGTTTTTTTCTTAATTATCTTTTTAACTCACAATCTAGTACATGGTTTTTTGTTGAATATTAATGATGCCTACCTAGAGCCATGACTCTTCCAGGTCCACTCTCTGTACAAGCCCAAAAAATATTTTACTTTACCAACAAGAAAGTAGCTAACTAAGTGCTTTAGACAAGCAAACAAGTAATATTCACTATGATGATGTGATTAGCATTTAGCGATTACCCTTCAGAGACGGGTAGAAAAAGAGACAGATTCTAAACTCCTACACTGCAGCACCACTTCAAAATGAAAAATCGTTTTATGTCCATGAAGAAGACGAATCGCTTTTATATCGCTCAGGGTAACATGAATTGAAAGCTTAGGGTAATTATTATTCGTGCATGCAAGTTGATAGTAGTACATACTTAGATAGTATTATCATTGCTCATTAGTTTCCCCAAACATGACGATTCACCAGGGTATGATTATAATCGTACATGTAGGATTATTTAATTACAGGGGACACACTGTTTTTATTGTCATACAGTTACATAGATAATCTATTCGAGGAGAGAGAACTTCAGCTTCAAGTCTTTACGCGAGCCTGAGCCTGTTCTGTCTCCTTCTTTTCTTTGACTTGCTCCAGCTCTGTCTCCAACCAATCCACCTTAAAATTCGCATTTTTCAAATATCCCATCGCAATGTCAGCTTCCTCCAGATCTTCATCGGCGAGCTCCTCAAGTGGTTGGCGCAGCGTCTCCATAAGACTGAGCAAGAAGATCATGTATGCTGTCTTCAGATCCTTGTTCTTTCCACGGAATCCTACTGCAATGTCTGGATGTTCTTTAAATATACGTCTCACAGAGTCTACCTGTGAGTGAAAAAAACAAATGTACCAAGCATATGAGAGAGAGCATTCTTTGGAGATTAGGAAACAGCCGAATACATGATCTCGCCTTTGTAGAGTGAGTAACAAGAAGTTTGCACCATTCTTGAGTTTCTTACCTGTGAAGGATGAACTTGAAACCCATTGACATCCACGCTTTCCTTTACCGATGGGGTTTTCTTAAGAAAATCTTTAGATTCCGCACCATCATCGCCTTGCTTTTCTTTTTTCAAATGTTCGGATGCCTCTTTAGACTCATCTAATGGGCCAATAACTTCAAGAACATCTACTTCAGCAACAATCAGTAGTTCATCATTCACCAGGAATCCACCATCTTTTGCATGAAGTTTGGTAAGGGGAATCATTTCTCGAAAACCCCATCCGGGAACTTTCTGATCAAACCAGAGCTGTGTTTTCGAATCTAAAGCACTCACACACACACACAAACGAAAACCATTGAGCAACATAGAAATCTAATTAAAACAAGAAATTTGCACAGCAGATCATTACAATCTTGCAGTATAATATGGAAACCAATGGAATTGGAATATCTAGCATTACTACTGTTAAAATGATTACATTGTGCATATGATACTGACACTGGACAAGGACCATTCACAAATGAATCAACTAATGAGCAGAGACTGAAGTAAAAAATCACCTCGTTGTACAGAGAGATCTTGCGAAAGTTGATTTACAATACTAAACCGAAATTTGGCGTATCTCCTCCATCCAGAAGGCAACGATTGATGATCATCAACTTCTAAATACAAAGCCAAATGATCACCTTTATTTTCTCCTTTGGGATGGATGTAAAGATGCCTGCAAGAAAAGAAAAAGAATCATCAAACCATGGGACGATACCACCTAAATCTAAATCGACTATAAAAATGAGGTGCTCTATTTACCATTTGTAGTCACCGATCACAACTGGAGCAGAATAAAACCTGTCAGATTGTAAAGAGGAGAAATTGTTTATCAACCATGCGAACTGCTTATTAACCGGCTTTGCCATTGATGTAAGAAAGATTCCTCGCAATCAAAGTATCAAACTACCAGAACCTGAAAGCAAGAAAACCCTTTTGCCTGATTATCACAAAACCCCCAAATTTATATACTAGCGAAGAATCCAATGCACTACCGATCAAATGAAAAAGAACAAGAAAACTAAGCTTCAAATATGGACACAGGGCCTCGCTAAATATAAATCACACTCTTAATAACAAATTGCAATAGTTACAACGCTCAAAAATCTAGCAGGGTCTCCCATATCAAAGACTAAAAGGATCAATGGATAAAGGATACACCTTTAGGGACCCGTAGAAAGAGAGAGAGACAGACGTTGTTACTGCTTCCCTTAGCAATTATAAGAATCGAATTGCTGGTACAGAAAGAAGTGAAACCAGATGTATAAATACTTGGTAAAAGAGAATATGCTTATCTTACAGGGTCAGCGAGGTAGTCATGTCTCTTTCGGGGATTTCTTCTTGCCAGAGGTAGAAATATACAGAAAATGCAGGAATCTCAAATTACGTGACTGGATGGGAAGCGCCTGACTCGTTGGTCATCATGACTTGATACTGCATCATTACGAGTTAACAAACGGTCAGAGAGATGAATATCAAAGCGAATACTTTATCATCAAACTTAGTCGTGATTCTTTTCTTCAACAAAATCTACATACTCAATTCCAGTTTTGATACTTGACCATTCCTCAACTTCTTCTTTATTGAGGAGAGAAGGAAAAGTACAATTAGACAAAGTTGAATTTAACTTACGCAATCGGCCAGAGATTTCCATCTTGCAGAGTGTTTCTTCCTGCAAGAAAGATGTATTAAGAAAAATGCATACATCTCCAATAAGGTACAGACACTAAGACGAACATGTGACTCATATATGACTTGATACACTCAAGAGGACAAAAAACTGAATCAAAAGCAAAGAAGCTTACAAGAAAACACACTCACCTAATAATACTTTTGTATCATTTTGTTCCAAATCTTATTCACTACATCCTAATGGCAAAAGAATCAGGATTTACAAGACCTATGTATACACACGGACAAGTGTCTATATAAACAATTCCTCCCCAAAAATTCAAAATAGAAATTGACGAAATTTGTATCTTTAAATACCATTTCCAGGCGGCGAACACGAAGGGGAGGAGAGAGGAGCAAAACTCGTCTTGCAAAGTTGAGATTTTTTTTTCCAAAACCCAAAGTAAAATCTCTTCTCCAATTGCTTGCTTGCCCATTAAAATACTTTGACATGGAATCACAATCGAAATTGCCCATTAAACTGAATCGAAACTAAACCCTAGAAACTGAATTCGATTACCCAAGTTCGTAATGTATCAATCGCACTCTCCAGTGAAACGCTCACTTACAGTGCGTCTCTCACAGTGATAGTGATACTGTTTAAAAGTAGGGCTTAAAGGAAAAGAGGAATTTGA